GTTGGCTGCATAAATGTCTTCTTTTGAGAAGTGTCTGTTCATATCCTTTGCCCACTTTTTGATGGGGTGGTTGTTTTTTTCTTGTAACTTTGTTTGAGTTCTTTGTAGATTCTAGATATTAGCCCTTTGTCAGATGAGTAGGTTGCAAAAATTTTCTCCCATTCTGTAGGTTGCCTGTTCACTCTGATGGTAGTTTGTTTTGCTGTGCAGAAGCCCTTTAGTTTAATTAGATCCATTTGTAAATTTTGGCTTTTGTTGCCATTGCTTTTGGTGTTTTAGACATGAAGTCCTTGCCCATGCCTATGTCCTGAATGGTATTACGGAGGTTTTCTTCTAGGGTTTTTATGGTTTTAGGTCTAACATTTAAGTCTTTAATCCCTCTTGAATTAATTTTTGTATAAAGTGTAAGGAAGGGATCTAGTTTCAGCTTTCTACATATGGCTAGCCAGTTTTCCCAGCATGATTTATTAAATAGGGAATCCTTTCCCCATTTGTTGTTTTTGTCAGGTTTGTCAAAGATCAGATGTTTGTAGATGTGTGATACTATTTCTGAGGGCTCTGTTCTGTTCTGTTGGTCTATATCCCTGTTTTGGTACCAGTACCATGCTGTTTTGGTTACTGTAGCCTTGTAGTATAGTTTGAAGTCAGGTAATGTGATGCCTCCAGCTTTCTTCTTTTGGCTTAGGATTGTCTTGGCAATGCAGGCTCATTTTTGGTTCCATATGAACTTTAAAGCATTTTTTTCCAATTCTGTGAAGAAAGTCATTGGTAGCTTAATGGGGATGGCATTGAATCTATAAATTACCTTGGGTAGTATGGCCATTTTCACGATGTTGATTCTTCCTATCCATGAGCATGGAATGTTCTTTCCATTTGTTTGTGTCCACTTTTATTTCATTGAGCAGTGGTTTGTAGTTCTCCTTGAAGAGTTGCTTCACATCCCTTGTAAGTCGGATTCCTAGGTATTTTATTCTCTTTGAAGCAATTGTGAATGGGAGTTCGCTCATGATTTGGCTCTCTGTTTGTGTGTTATTAGTGTAGAGGAATGCTTGTGATTTTTGCACATTGATTTTGTTTCCTGAGACTTTGCTGAAGTTGCTTATCAGCTTAAGGAGATTTTGGGCTGAGACGATGGAGTTTTCTAAATATACAGTCGTGATGGTATTATATATTATGATATTTATTCTACTTGTTTAAACTGCACATACTGGTCCTTTGCAAATATCAGAAGATTTTAGATGATCTCATTTGCTAAAATAATGAAAGCCAGGATTGCTTGTAAACAGCATACTTTGTTTTGTATTTTTATTATTCACAAATGTGGGTCTTTTTTTTTTTTTTTTTTTTTTGAGACGGAGTCTCGCTGTGTCACCCAGTCTGGAGTGCAGTGGCGTGATCTCTGCTCACTGCAAGCTCCGCCTCCTGAGTTCAAGTGATTCTCCTGCCTCAGCCTCCGAGTAGCTGGGACTACAGGCGCCCGCCACCACGCCCAGCTAGTTTTTTGTATTTTTAGTAGAGACGGGGTTTCACCATGTTAGCCAGGATGGTCTCGATCTCCTGACCTCATGATCCACCCGCCTCGGCCTCCCAAAGTGCTGGGATTACAGGCTTGAGCCACCGCGCCCGGCCTCACAAATGTGGTTCTCTCACCGTTTTTCCCTTCTGTGTTAATTCGGTTATTACTTTTCTCGAATGCCTCAAGTCTTGGTGAAATTATAATGATTCTGACTTTTCAAGAGAAAGCAGGTTTTCCTCTCCAGTTAGCACAACTTGTCAGCTCTTTTGTTTTTGTGCCGATACCTTTCTTTTCCCAGCCGTGTAGTGTTTTTTCTTCCAATCCAAATGTCTTTAAAAATATAGGATTGTCAGTCTGTTCCATATTACTTCCAGATTATTTTTTCTGTTTATTAATACATGCCGTGTGTGTGTGTGTGTGTGTGTTTGTGTGTGTGTATTGCCTTTGAAAAATGACTTCACCTTTGTCTCTTCATCTTTAGGGTGGAGGGTGGTGGGGTTGATTTCTGCAATCCCTTATGTAGCGACTACTCCAGCTTTACTTAAAAATAATGGAAATCAGAGTAGAATGTGCTTTTAGTCTCTTGAGTGATGTTGGCTGGGGAGAGTCCTAGAAACGGCTATACATTCATGACGTGATTTGCAAAGAACTTCCTAGTTTTCTTCCAAGAAGGTTATATTCTACTGTTTTGTCATTAGTTTGTTGTTGTGTCACAGCTGTATAACTCTTTGTGTGTGTATTGGCGGGGCGGTTGTTTGTACCAACTCAAAAATTAAACGAAGTTATACTGTACTGACCTCGACAACTGAAATTTTCAGTAAGCCTTGAGAAGACGAAATTAGATAACATTTTTTTTTTCTATTGCACCCGACAGAACTTTGATTCAACTGAGACAACCAAAAGTGTATGTGGGGTTTGTAGAGTGCTGAGATGGGAGATTTGACTCATATAATCAAGAATGGTTAAGGGTAAAGTAGGTCTTGCAGGCCACTAGAAATAGATAGTAGGTATTATAAAGGGTATTATATTCTACCTCTTTTCTTGCATTATAGCTTAATTCTCTTTTCTGCCAATACATTTTCTCCATGAGTCAAGGGACATCATCATCAGTGATTTTAGGATTATTTCCTTGTAGCCTTGTAGCTAGTGGTTTTAACAGCTAGCTCTAGTCTATAAAAAATAATCCCAGTCTATAAAAAACAACCCCAAAGAAGGACTTTTGATTGATGAAGTCTAGGATATATACCTTTCCTAGTGACGAGGGGATAGAGCTTATTGCCATAAAGGAGTGATTGAGTCATCAAGCAAGGATTATTACTAGGCAAACAGAAGATACCCATTATTGGTATTTAAAGGGATCAAGTTTTGAGCTTATTCAAAAGTAGACAAAAATTCCTAAGGGTTATAATTTGTAGTGGAAAAGGTTTTGTTTTTTGTTTTTTGTTTTCATATTATTTACACATGCTTATACCTTTATTTATACATGCTTATACACATGCTTATAGTACAGGTGTACAACTAATTCAGTAGTTAGTTGGATCACTTTTGGTTTGTATAGTTATCTTTATATGCACATAATTTTTATTCTGGTGATTTTGAACTTAGGCCACTGTATTCCAAAAAAAGAAGGGCTTTGATTTGAATCCAGCCAGACTCGTGGTTAAATGTGGACAGAAGATGTCTGCATATATACGTGCTCATTGTTTTTCTGTCTCATTTTCTATGTTTTTCCTCTTAAATCACATCCCCACGAGTCAATATTTATATACTAGAATAGGTAAGTAATATGATTAGTTTACTCTTATTATATAATGTCTAGTTGATTCTTTATATAGGAGCTAATGTTTCTTTTAATGGATTCCTATGTAATGATTATCCCCTGGCTTCTGATTTTTTAAAAATCTAGGTGCAGTTCAATTCAACTAGCTGCAGTGCCCAGAGCCTACTATGCTCCAGGTACTGGAATTACAAAGAATAAAAATAGTTATGTCCCCTAACGTAAACTTAGAGAAAAATATAATCAGAAGGTTCCCCCACATTATAATGATGTTAAATATTTGATGTGCTCTCCACCTTAATTATGATTCACTTTTTTTTTTTTTTTAACATTTAAAGGTTTACCTGAATGTAATATAGTTGGAGGAAGACCATATCATAAGTACGCTTGATAAATTTTTATGAACAAACATCTGTGAAACCAGCACCCGGAATGACTCAGTAGTAAATACACCAATATATATTAATAACTAAATGCGCAATAGTGAGAACATTGGAAAAAAGGATATTTTGCTGTCCTCAGGTGTCTTTTTGTGTGGTTGTTTTTTTTTCTTCTTGGAGTTTTTGCCACCTACCTGCCCCTGTGACTGTTGTTTCTTGTAATAAAGAATGGTTTCTGTGATGTTCTGACTGAATACTAGGAATACCACTGTATTGAAGTGAAAGTCTTTTTTCTCTTGTACTCATTTTTATAGTCATTTTTTTTTTTAAATGCTATAGGATAGCCTGCTATTTCAAACAATTTTACCATGTTTACCATCTGAAATTTTGAAGAGAATGTAGTGTAATTATAATTAATATTTAGCAGTATTTCTTTGGAAATGTTCTTTGCGATGCTAATATTGATTTTAATTTTTATGTATTTTTGTACCTCCCCTGATATTTGTCAAATTTCCTTCTGTTATGTACAACTAAAGTCTTTATGAATTCATAGTTATGAAATTTACACTTGCAACTTTCTGTAAAGAAAAATGTATTATGAAATATCACTGTGAATATGATTGAAACTGTTGCACTAAAAACAGACATTTTAAGAATCTTAAGCATTTCAGAGGCATCTATCCTTGAGTATATAATTGATATACTTCAACACTTAGCATATTTCCTTTTACATCTTACATTTTCAGTAATTATTGAGATTTGTTATTTAGTTTTTAAGATACTCTCATCTGCTCTTAATTCAAATGTAACATCTCTTCTTTATAAATGTGATTTTTCCTGAATATTTTAAAGGCATTTAATTATTTGAAATGTTTATGTTTTTTAAATACCTTCCAATATAACGTATGTTAGGTTTTTTTAACAGGAGAGTATATATCATTTATGTATTTTGAGATTGTTTAGAGAAAAAAAGGTTGACTTGATTTTAGAATAGGCAGTGATATTTCTGAGAATATTAAAATTGTCAGCAGTTAAACAAATCATTTAAAAATACTACATGCTTACAGTAACTACTCTGTAGTAACTAAGTTTGTTCTACACTAAAGATGTTTATTATGATCTCATGACTAATAGCATAAAAGATCAGGAGAGTTTTCATTTTTATTTTTTTCTTAAACTGTAGGTCATAACATGTTTAGTGGAGTAACCAATTGAGTGAGAAAAACAGAACAAGAGACAGAGAGATACGAGATTTCTTTGCAATAATTACAGTGTTTATTATGTAAAGAAACTTTGATCTTATATATCAATTCTTATTCTTTTAAAGGAGGGTGCATCTGCACGGAAGACTCAGACTCCTGCAGCCCAGCCAGTACCAAGACCAGGTAAAAATATAAAACTTTGTTTTTTGCTTTCTTTCAGAAGCTCATAACAGCGCAAGTTTTTTGGTATGTGTATATAATGCTTTGAACACATTTAAATTTTACTTAAAATACATTGCAAAGTCATGTTTCTTTAAAGACTGTTGATACTGTTTAAGCAGATCTCAAAACTGTGATAATATACATAAAATGCTTGCTAAACTTCAGTCAGCATCATTAATAAATCTTCATGATTTTAGCAGAAAGACATAAAGAAATAAAGTGAAAAGCATATTAAATTATTTATTTTCCTATAGTGTAATAAGCAGCTGAACTGGATTTTGTAATATTCTTTATTGAAGTAATGTTTTCCCTGATTTGATTCACAGGTCATTGATAAAATGGGTTATAAAACACTGTTTTTCAATCATGAAGTTATACTATAGAACATTTACTTGAATAAATAGGTATAGTGAAGACTTAAAGAAAATTTTTAAGAAAATGTTTTCATTTCGGTTAAGATTTTAGAAACATGTTTTAAAACATTTTTAAATGTTTAAAAGCTATTTATATATATCCATCCTCATCAGGTAGTATGTACAGATGTGATTTTTTTTCCTACAGCAGCACAGAATTATAATTTTAATAGAATGATATTCAGCTTTGATGCTTAGAACTTCAGATATCTGTGTTGAACACCTAAAGTTCTGTATCATTTTTTAAAAAATGTGTTAAGCAAAGGTAGTATTGAAGTTATTTTAGAAAAATTCTTCCCCCTATTCCTAGTACCTAAAAAGACTGATCTTTATAGATACTTAGATACCAACCCTATATTTATTTTTGGTCTTTTGGGTTTGTTTTTGGTGTTTGCTGTTTGTTTTATTTTTACATTTATTTAGCATAATTTCAGTGCTAGGCTATACCAGCTGCCACCCCCGCCCCCGGCCCTTTTTTTTTTTTTTTTTTTTTTTTTTTTTTTAAATAACCTCATCAGTGCTGTTGAAAGTGAGTATGAAAAAAAGAAAATAAAGGTTTGGAAAGATACAGGCAAGAACTTAACTGGATCTTCTGCATAAATTTCACAGTATCAATAGTGCAGATACGGATATTCTCTTATTCATAGTATGTACACAGGCCAATTTAAAATTATTTAGATTATGAATATTAAATATTTTCTGGAGGCATGTCAAAAGCATGGTACATGGGGCTTATGTTGGGATGGTTTTGCAGGGTGATTTCCTTATGTCCTGTATTCATGCTCCTCTTAGATGTGGCTAGTATTTCCTTTTTTTGTTTTTATTTTTTGTTTGACAGTAGGTTTGTTTGAAATTTTTGTCATTGCTGTTTTTAAGTAGGTGTGGAGAAGAGGAGTGCTCTGTCAGCCTTGTTAGACTAGATTGGATGTAATTGATTAAGATGACAGGACTAATTTTCGATAGAGATGGTCATACCAGAATCCATCATGAGAGTATAAGAACAACAACTAAATTCAACAAATATTATTTGAATTTCTATGTAGTAGGCTCTTGTCCGGAAACTAAGAGAAGCTGAAGGAGCTTTTTACAGGAAGGAAGAAAAAAGTGAAGGAAATAGGGATGGACAGATGGGGTTGGGCCCAAAGAATACTAAACATAAAGTATAGGAATATTGTGGAGGCAATTGAATCACAGATAAGAGAATTGTTTGCTTTTCTTTGGAAGGGAGGGATGGGAGGTTATGGTTTGTCAGAAATGGAAAAAGGAGAACAAGCCACCACCTGAGGATTCTAACTTAGAATCTGTGATGTAAAATTTTTTCTATTTCATATTTTCATAAAATAAGTTAGTATATAAGGAAAGGGCTGGGAGAGGCACTGATATCTAAACAAACCATTTTGTTCAGATGTGTCTTGTGATAAAATAAAGTTAAAGGGTCTAGATTTTACTAGCCAGTTATGTGGCTAGGGGAAGATCATGTGTGTAAAGTAAGGAGTCCTAAGTCTTTTCACCTCTTAATGTTCTAGCCTACTTTTTCAATTGCTCTGTTAAAGTATACTGGGGATTAAACCGATCGAAATTAATCTGAACTAATGTCTCATCATACATCAGATATTCTATTGCCCATCCATGTGAACTTTGCACTTCCTACTCCCACTTACTGCTTCACACCCATACATCCACATTTCCTACCCACCATTCTAAAGTAATTAAGGTTTTTGCTCTCATTCAGCAATAAGACTTGATTGGAATGGATAGTAGTAGTTTGAAGTCTTTATTTGTCCTAATTAGTGTATTTTTATTTTGCTGCCAAAATGTTAAATGCATCTGCTTTTGGGGGTGCAGCCCAGTTTTGAAGGGATATTGTTTAATATTTGACATGTATACTAGTATTATTTCTTTAAAATCTGAAAAATGTGAGTACCCAAAATATATATGGCCAGTGTAAGAAGGGGGATTATAGAAGTGTAACTGTTATTTGTTGGGTAGAGTTTGGATAATTTGGAAATGGGAGACTGACCCACCTGTTCTTTCCTTGAGTGAGATACCTCAAGGGTGGAGTTCTGTTTTTGAGCATTTACAAATTTTTATTTCTCATTTCATCAAATATTTATTTAGTGCTGTTGTGCCAGGCAAGTCTGTGGGTAAATTTAATGTTTTAAAGTGTTTACAGTTAAACACTTTAAACATCTAAAGCTCTAAAAATTTCCAACCTCTCAAAATTCATTTAGGGAATATAACTAACAAGAGGCACATGTTTTCTAGTGGATTCATAAATAAAAGCATTTGAAAGTATTGGGGGAACCAGCCCCCAATATTTCAACATAGGTTCTTTTTATTTTCCCTAAGGGTCAGCTGGTCTGAGAAATAAAGAGAAAGAGTACAAAGACAGTAATTTTATAGCTGGGCCTCCAGGGGTAACATCACATATTGGTTGTTCCGTGATGTCCCCTGAGCCGCAAAACCAAGTTTTTATTAGGGATTTTAAAAGGGGAGGGGTATATGAACAGGGAGTGGGTCACAAAGATCACATGCTTCAAAGGGCAATAAAGATCACAAGGCAAAGGCAAAATTAGAATTACTGATGAGGGTCTGTGTCCCGCTGTGCATTTCTTGATAAACATCTTAACAGAAAACAGGGTTCGAGAGCAGAGAACCGCTCTGACCAAAATTTACCAGGCTGGAATTTCCCAATCCTGATAAGCCTGAGGGTATTGCAGGAGACCAGGATGTATTTCAGTCCTTATCTCAACCTCATAAGACAGACACTCCCAGAGCAGCCATTTATAGACCTCCCCCCAGGAACGCATTCCTTCCCCAGGGTATTCCTTGCTGGGAAAAGAATTCAGTGATATCTCACTTACTTGCATGTCTATTTATAGGCTCTCTGCAAGAAGAAAAATATGGCTCTATTCTGCCTGACCCCACAGGCAGTCAGACCTTGTGGTTATCTTCTCTTGTTCCCCAAAAATCGTTGTTACTCTGTTCTTTTTTAAGGTGCACTGATTTCATATTGTTCAAACACATGTTTTACAATCGATTTGTACAGTAGTAGTCCTGAGGTGACGTCCATTCTCACCTTACAAAGATAACAGGATTAAGAGATTAAAGACAGGCATAAGAAATTATAAGAGTATTATTAGGGAAGTGATAACTTCCATGAAATCTTCATAATTTATGTTCAGAGATTGCAGTAAAGACAGGCATAAGAAATTATAAAAGTATTAAATTTGGGAACTGATAAATGCCCATGAAATTTTCACAATTTATGTTCTTCTGCCGCGGTTCCAGCTGGTCCCTCCGTTCTGGGTCCCTGACTTCCTGCAACAGAAAGGCCATAGTTCTGGACTTCACTGTCTTTCCTTTTTATAGCCATATTGAATTTCTTGCACATATCCTTGTCTGTCTTCTCTCCTTTATTAATGTATACACCATCCATACTTCACTAATTCATAGTTCTTTTGAGATGACTAAGTGGCCTATGGTACTAGTTTATGTGCTTAATACCACTCATGTGAGATTGAGAGAGTGAGCTAGTGGCTGTATATTTTATACAAATTTATTATGCTATTCAATCATGTAATTTATAACCTAGCTACTGCTTGGAGTACTTCTCCTCTCATCCCATAGTTTTAAATCTATGTGCTAATGATTTCCAAATTTGTATCTCCAGTTCAAACTCTGATATCTTATATTAACTGTCTGTGTAACATTTGGATTTGCCATAGGCGTTTTAAAACTAATTAAGATAATGTTTTCCCTGCTATTTTCCCCAAGGCCTCTTACTCTGTAGTCTTCTCCTTTTTCATAGAGTGACAACACCATCAACTTTGTTTCTTAAATCAAAAATTTGGAAGTTACTCTTTATTCATCACATTTCCTTACTCCTTTTCTGTTAGTGGGTTCTGTCAGATGTACCTTTTCTGTATTCCAAATTTATCTATTTTTCTTTATCTCCACTACCACAACTCAAGTAGAAACCATCATCATCTCTCTAGACCAGTGGGTCTCAGTGTGGTCGGCTGCCTGGTGTCAGCCCATGACCTTTTTATTTCCGGTGCCAACAAAATAGATACAGAAATTGAGGGTAAAATAGTGTCATAGCATCTGAGTACATTATCATCTTTCTAGAAATTCATTGTTATTATATTTTATTCAGTTGACTTTGAATTGGAAATCAAACAAAAACTCAACCACACATGGTTTGAGTAGCACCATTGTTGACTGTTGTAATAGTCCTAACTGAGCTTTCTGCCTTCACACGTGTACCCTTTTTGATCTCTTGTCCAAATCCATTGTTTTTTTTTTCTTCCAGACTTGTGAAATGAAAATAAAATCTTGTCACTTTCTAGCTTAACAGTTATAGGACTTTCCAGTGGCACTTAAATGTAAACTTAATATTGCTTAAAAGGCCCTAGATTAATTGGTCTCTGCATATATTTGTAACCTCATCTCCTGCCATTCTTCCTTTCTTCCCTCTGGTCTACACATTTGCTTTGTTTCAGTTCCCTAAGTGCAGCAATTTCTTCCTGCCTATGATATTTGCCCACATTCCTACCTCTTATCTGGACTGTTCGCCTACTTGTTCTTGGCAAGTTGGCTTGTTTTCATCTTTCAAATTTCAGCTTAAATGCCACTTTCTTTGAGAAGCTTTTTGCATTCTATCTAAAGCACACTTTTCTGCCAGTATACACTCATTTTCTTCCCTTAGTATGTGTTCCATTTAGATTATGTGTTTGGTTGCATTTTTGTTTATGGTCTGGGCTCACCTACTCTGCTGAAAGCTCTTTGAGGGCAGGAATTACTTCTGTTTTATTTGCAGCTTAATAATAACTTAGCAGCGATGCTTGTACATAGGCTCTGAATGAATGTTTCTTAAGAATCTAATTTATTTGAAATCAAACAAAGCAACAGTAATTTTTCTTATGGTTTATTCTCAGCTTGTAAATTGGCAATTAGCGCACTTGCTTGAGTAGTAGTAGAAGTAGTAGTAGTAGAAGCGGCAGCAGTTAGCATCTACTGTAGTTGCAGGATTCAGTAAATGGTGAGTATGTGCTAATACCTGGTTAAGAACTTTAGCATGCGTTATTATTTTTAAAATTCTCACAACAATATCAAGATATAGAAACTATTATCTCTTTTACGATTGAGGAAACTGAGGCTGAGCAAAGTTAATCAACTTGCCTAGACAGTGGCAAAATAAGGATATGAACTAAAATAATCTGAGTACAGACCTTTGCTGTTGATCACTCTGTCATACAAACTCGTTATGTTTCTCTCCCCCTCCCCCTTTAAGATCAAGCTTCTCATTGATATGTTCATCACAGTGTCTCAGTCAGGGTCCTTACATACTAGGGAACTTGTTTATATTCATTTGCAGTTTTTTTTAAACTAAACCTCTAAACTTTATTTTTAACATTTGTGAGTTTTTTTATTTTGCCTTTTTCTTACTTTGGGTCTTCTTGGCCTTGAGTTTAGTAAATGTTTGTCTAAATTCCTGAGGGCATTTGTGGATTTCCTCACCAAATCCAACAGTACTTCAGTCAGAGATTTCTCCCTTGCCCTCTCTTTCTTCTTCCCTCTCTTCCTCTCCCCCTTCCCTACCTTCCTTCCATCTGTCCATCACAGATTTATTTCTTGAAACCTTTGTTTTTTGTAGTTCCCTTTAGTCATGTTATCCCTTTATCTCTCCAATAAATGCCAAATATTTACCGAGACTGTATTATATTTCAGATGATACTATCTAACCAATCAGATTTATCCATGACCCTCCATTTCTCTAATTGATTTAAGAAAATTCTAGTTTTTTTTTCTCAGCAAGATGAGAAAACCGTAATAGTAAAGGCATATGTCTCAGCATGTATTTGTGTGTATAGTTATCTGCTTTCTGTGGCTCGAAGATCATACTACTGAATCCTGTGATAGTTTATCACAATGAGAGAGCTATACAAAGGATTACAAAGAATTAGTTAAAATGTAGCATTTTGCTGCTTTTTAAATAGAACATTTTCTGAAAGTGTATGTGCTGTGTTATTCACTTTAAAGATGGTATCCATTTTTAAGAACTGACATTCAATTAGAATTTTAAGTCTCCTGAATTTTTCTTTATTTTTGTCATTTAAAAAACAAAACTCGATCATAGCATGTGGCACATTGAGTTATTGTATGGTCAAATACTGAAAATAGAACTTGCAGCACTTTTTATCCTAAGATGTATTGATCTTGTGTTAGGTTATTATTACCATTAATGTCAACAAATATTTCTATGCATTAAAAGTTCATTGTATATAAACATAATACGAAGATATGGGCCAGGCTCAGTGGCTTACCCCTGTAATCCCAGCACTTTAGGAGGCTGAGGTGGGAGGATAGCTTGAGCTCAGGAGTTCGAAATCAACCCTGGGTGACAGAGCGAGACCCTGTTTTTGTTAAAAAGAACAAAAAAAGATAGGAAGATTTGTGTATTTATAATATGATCACAATCAATCATGTGGTCATTTTCAGGTAATATAGACCTTCACATATACATGACTGATTACCTGTAACACTGTATTTCTTACCTGAAAAGAGACCAGAAACAATTTTTAAAAGAAAGAAAAAAAAAAAAGGAATTTTTTAAACTTAGCTCTCAATAACTACTTTTCCTTTTCTTCCAGAATGGTTAAGCGTATTCACACTTTGCACAGTATTATTTGCTCTTATGCTCTGCTTTCACATTTATTACAGTGGTAATCAGCTTATTATGAAATTATTTCTTCTCTGTCTCTCTCTCTCTCTTTTTTTTTTTTTTTTGCTAGACCTGAACATCCTTGAATGTAGATACTCAGTGCCTGACATTGTAATACAGTAGTCCCCACTTACTAGCAGGGCATACGTTCCAAGACCCCCAGTGGATACCTGAAACCAGGGAGGGATGGTACAAAACCAGATTCAGTCAACCAGAACATGTTTCTCTTTATGTCTCCCATAAATTGAATGCCCTTTCCATCTTAACTAAACACTGTCACTCACTGTGACTGAAACTTTCGCAGTTTGAGGTACAAAGGCAAAAGTAGCATGAATTTCTTTTTCTTCTTCACAATTACACAGATGGTAGATTCTTTGTTTTTATTGTAGGTGTTAGCAACCTCAGGATGTGATTTTATTTTATTTTTTTCTTTTCTTACTAAGTAGAGATTTTCATCTTTTCACCTAAGGGAAACAATGTCTTGTCTTTGGTAGTGGCTTATCCAAATTGTCAGCCTTATCACTCTTGCCCTTTGGGGCCATTCGTATGTAAAACAGTGGCCACTTGAAACAAGCACTGTGATAACAGTGAGGGAGATGACTATGAGTGACTAAAGTGTGGGTAGTGTATAGAGTGTGGGTGTGCTGGACAAAGAGAGCATTCACATCCTGGGTGGGGCAGTGTGAGATTTCGTTATGCTCCTGAGAAAGATGTGCAATTTCAAATCTTGTGAATTGTTTGTTTCTGGAATTTTCTCTTTAATATTTTCAGACCACAGTGGACTGTGGTTAACTGAAACTGTAGAAACAGAACTATGGATATTGTATATTCACTTTCCTTTTGACTGCAGATTGTTGAATAATGCATTTTAATATTTTTGTCAAACAGAGATGTTGAGAAGATAGTAAGTTGTAAAATACGTCTTCTGATTTACAGTTAGTCATATGTGAATACAAATAATTTAAAAAATACCCCTTACTTGTAAGTTTGAAAATAAGAATATGGTTTTTATGACACAGATTTGTGATTTTTTTTTCTTCTTTACAGTTTCTCAAGCAAGACCTCCCCCAAATCAGAAGAAAGGTGAGGTTGTGAATATGATTTTAAACTTAACTTTTAAAAGTAAATGATTGCAGAACCAGGCCTGATACTTTCCTCATGCAGCTGTATCACATGTTTGTGCTTGGTATCCATTCTGATTTGTCAGAACTCAAGCCACATTGATTATTAAATATTTTTAAATATCCACTGGCTTAAAATATTTTTTAGATCGGAAGAGTTAAAGTTACAATTTATAATCTTTTAACTTTTAGTAGGGAAAGTAATTGTAATTCCTAATAATACATTTTTACCTGTAAAATTTTGTCTTTATAGGATCTCGAACACCCATTATCATAATTCCTGCAGCTACCACCTCTTTAATAACCATGCTTAATGCAAAAGACCTTCTACAGGACCTGAAGTAAGTAATTTATTAAACTATCCTGTTCGTAGGACATTGAGATATCATTGGAAAATAGTAGTTACTGAATCAGTATTACTTATTTGGAGAAAACAAAATTTCAGTTTCTGTGCTATAGGCCTTACACATAGTATGAAGCATAATTTTTCAAAACAGAATATATTCTTTTATATTTGGATCCTTTAGGGAAAATTACAGAAACTTCTGGCTAAAGTCCTAATGAAAAAGGATACTATCATATTAACTTTTAATATGAATTGTTTTCTTTTGATGTTTTTCTCTGAGAGAGCTTGAGGAAGTTCTAAAACTTCCTCAGTTCAGGTTCTCTCTGAATATTAGATGTTATACCGTAGTAGGAGTAAGTAGGTGGATGGGTGGGGGGCATAGTTATTTAACCTAGATAGCAGTGAAAGTTAAAGAAGTGAAAATGAAACCTATAAATGATGATAAAATTTCCACATGCTTAACTTTAAAAAATGTTTAATGTCTATTTTCCTTTCTCATTTCCTTATTAAAATGAATACAATCACACTTGTACCCAGTTTGTTTTAATAAACATGCATCATGGTTATTGGGCACAAAATAAATCTCTTCCATTCCCAACCACTTTCAGATTTAAAATTTAAGTAGTTTACATATATTTTCCCATAGCATTTCTTCTATTAATGAATATTTTTAAGTCTGTTTACTACTTCTTGGATTGGCTATAGTTTACAGAAGAAAGATGGCAATATAAAAATTGTTTTAAATAAGCTTCAGTGATATATACATTAACAAGGTTTAAAATGAGCCATGTTTAAGTGATTTTCAGAATGCTATCAAATTTTTTAGACACAGTGTTGCAAAGTTTTTCCTCAGTAAATTTTTTTTTTTTAGTCATCTTCATTGTTAACATGGGTGACTATTTTATATATTCAGCTAAATACCATTGACTGATGTAGGATTTTAAGATAGTTCTTTCTATCAGAATGCATTTTATGAAATAGGGGATAGGGATAGAAAATGCAGGAGCTCAAAAATTGTAATACTGTTTCAGAGGATAAGAGAAATGCTGTGATCACTAGTTGGAGAGAAGAGGGTTAACAGTATTCTGCTTTAATATTTTCATAGTGTTTGTTACATTTTCATGGTACTTCTTACTAAACAAAAGCTGTCAGATTTTCCTGTTGTGTTACATACATTATTTAATTTTGGTATTTGTTAGGAATTTGGACTGTTACTAATCTTAATATGGTTTTATTTGAAGTGGTACTGGCTTAAAGGCATGTCCTTCCAGAGTGATTTTGTGATTGCTCTGCCAGATGCTTCAAGAATATCTCAAGCCTTGAGTTGATTTTTGTGTTAAATTCTTAACATAAGGATTTCTAGTCTGTCTTTGAATCAGACCTGAGTGACATTGGACCCTGGCTGACAAATTATCCAGGAGCCCCTTTTCTTCCCCTGCTCCAGAGGTAGATCAAGATGGGTATGCTTCCCCGACATTTGATTGGAAACAGTTTTTCCCTCTAGTTTAATCTTTCATTGATTGTGTGACTCTTCTGTGGCTCTAGTTCCAGTTCCTCTGTGTCCTTTCCCTATGTAGTTGGTAAAAGCCAATTCTCAGTACTGCCTACACTTTCCTCGTGGGCAGTACCTGTGTACTTTATTAGTCCTCAGCATTTTCTTCATTTGTAGCCCATGACTGTTTTCTTTCTAGTCAGCATTTCAGGTATATGTTACATTGTATTTAGCATTTCCAGGTGTTTATGTATAAAGTTCCAGTTTCAGTAATGTAGTATACCAGATAGTATAACCCATTTTAGTAGGAAGTTGTTAGTCTGCCAAATGTAGTGAATTTCTTAATTCATGTTTCATAATTGTTTGAGTTGTACCTGAGGGGAATTAAAAATGCAGACTATTGGCTGGGCACGGTGGCTCACACCTGTAATCCCAGCACTTTGGGAGGCCAAGGCGGGCAGATCACGAGGTCAGGAAATCAAGACCATCCTGGCTAACATAGTGAAACCCCGTCTCTACTAAAAATACAAAAAAAATTAGCTGAGTGTGGTGGCGGGCACCTGTAGCCCCAGCTACTTGGGAGGCAGAGGCAGGAGAATGGCATGAACCTGGGAGGCGGAGCTTGCAATGAGCTGAGATGGCGCCACTGCACTCCAGCCTGGGTGACAGAGTGAGACTCCATCTGAAAAAAAAAAGCAGATTATTTTATAAGCTGTTTGGCCACTTAGCTATAGATTGTTTGCAGTTGGGATACACTTGACATTAGAAATAAGTTTTAATGTTTTTCTAAATCAGTGATGTTGATGCCTTAACTATGAGACAGGTTTAGATGAATTTAGTGATAACTCTTATTTGGGGAGATTGATGTGTATATTGAGTTTGTTCTTTCAACTAACATCTACAGAGCGATAACTAAAAAGTAAATTACTCTATAGATGGATGTACCACAAGCCCAACCTTCTAGGCGCTCACATGAGAGTGGCACTGGTTTGTCACTAGTTGCAGCTGCTGAGAAATGTGTTTAGCGCTTGTTGTAAAACTCAGTTTCAATGCCTTATTCTAAGTACAGTGAAAAATATACTGTCTTTTGACTCTGCAAATTTGAATCACATTCTGAAGATAGGTTCAGAAACAAATTTGACCTCAACAGTTAGCCTTTAAAAGCTTTATCTAGCTTCTCTCACAAATTATGTGCTATTAGTGAGAATGTATATAATAGTGATTTTTCATAATATATAAACAACTTGAAATGTATTGTTTTCTACAATTTGAAACCTAAAAATGATATACAGTATATCCAGTTTGACCCACTCTTATTCCTGAACAAAAATACAGATAGATAAAAGAAACTTAAAGCCTATTTTAGCCTTAGGTTACCTCTGCCATTTAGTTGCAGAGCAGGAAATACAACCAGGTCTCCTGATGATCAATTTAGTAGTTGTCTTATTTGTACTGTGGAGATACTCAACAAACATTCAGATTAAGAAATTAAGTTTTTATACAATTACATGGAAATTAAGCAGCCTGGTCCTAAATCACTTTTGGGCAAAGAATGAAATTAACACAGTGTTGGTTTTTTTTTTTTTTTTTTTTTTTTTTTTTTTTTGAGACACGGTCTCTGTCACCCAGGCTGAAGTGCAGTGGTGTGATCTTGGCTCTCTCGGCTCTCTGCAACCTCTGCCTCCTGGGCTCAAACAATCCTCTTGCCTCAGCCTCCTGAGTAGCTGGGACTACAGGTTGTGCTACCACACCTGGCAAATTTTTGTATTTTTTGTATAGACTAGGCTTAGCCATGTTGCCCAGGCTGGTCTCAAACTCCTGGACCCAAGTGATCTGCCTGCCTTGGCCTCCCGAAGTGCTGGGATTACAGGGATGAGCCACCATGCCCAGCCTCAAAAAATTCTTTGAAACAAGTGAAAACAAAGATACAGTGTACCAGAATCTCTGGGACACAGCTAAAGCAGTATTAAGAGGAAAGTTCATAGTGCTAAATGCCTATATCACGAAGTTAGATCTCAAATTAACCACCTAACGTCACACCTGGAGGAACTACAAGAACAAGAGCAAACCAGTCCCAAAGGTAGCAGAAGAAAATAACCAGAATCAGAGCTGAACAAAATTGATATGTGAAAATCCATACAAAAGATCAATAAAACCAAAAGTTGGTTCTTTGAAAGAGTAAGATTAATAGACTGCTAGCTAGATTAATAGAGAAAAAAGAGAAAAGATCTAAATAAACACAATCAGAAATGACAAAGGGATATTACCACCAACTCCACAGAAATACAGAAAACCCTCAGAGGCTATGAACACCTCTGTGCACACAAACTAGAATACCTAAAAGAAATGGATAAACTCCTAGAAACGTACAATCTCTCAAGATTGAATTAGGAAGGAGTTGAAATCCTTAACAGACCAATAATGAGTTCCGAATTTGAATCAGTAGTAAAAAAAACCCTACCAACCAGAAGCCCCCCAACCCCCAACCAGACAGATTAACAGCTGAATTCTACCAGATGTGTAAAGGAGAGCTGGTACTAGCCCTACTGAAATTGCTCCAAAAAGTCAAGGAGGAGAGACTTTCCTAACTCATTCTGTGAAACCAGCATCATTCTGATACCAAAACCTGGCAGAGAGACAATTTACAAACAAAAACAAAAACAGAAAAAACCTGCTGGCCAGTGATGAGCATAGATGCAAAACTCAACAAAATACTAGAAAATCGAATCCAGCAGCACATCAAAAAGCTAAAACACCCTGATCAAATAGGCTTTATCCCTGGGATGCAAGGTTCGTTCAACAAATGCAAACCAGTAAACATGATTCATCACATAAACAGAACTAAAAAAATTATACAATCATCACCGTAGATGCAGAAAAGGCTTTCAATAAATCCTAACATCCCTTCATGTTAACCCTCGACAAACTACCCATCAAAGGAACATACCTCAAACTAATAAGAGCCGTCTATGACAGTCCTACAGCCAACATCATACTCAATAGGCAAAAACTGGAAGCATTCCCCCTGAGAACCAGAACAAACTAAGAATGTCCACTCTCACCACCCCTATTCAATGTAGTACTGAAACAGGAAGATTCCTTTGTCTCCCTCACAGAGCGTGCAATGGGGGTGTGGCTTGCTTCTTCAGTACCCTGCTGCTGAAACCTCTAGGGGAGCATAACCAACGGGCAGGCTGTGGGGCTCAGACCCCACGGCAGTGTCTAGGGGTGAATGTTTACAGCTGAAGCCCCAGTGAACGTGTGTTACAGGATGCTCTTTTGGTTTGCTCTATAGGTGACTTGTGTTAACCAGCTCAGACCCTCTACCTTACCACAAGGACAGAGGGATTGCTGTATCGCAGGATTTCTTACCTTGGTGTACCGGAAGAATCGGATCACATGTGGATTTGGAGAATGAGTGCAAGGTTTTGTTGAGTAGAAGTAGCTCTCAGCGGATGGGGGAGCCAGAAAGGAGATGGTTTTCCCCTGGAGTTGGGCCGCTG